CATAGTGTATATTGTTCCATACATAGTGTGTATTGTTCCATACATAGTGTATATTGTTCCATACATAGTGTGTATTGTTCCATACATAGTGTATATTGTTCCATACATAGTGTGTATTGTTCCATACATAGTGTATATTGTTCCATACATAGTGTGTATTGTTCCATACATAGTGTATATTGTTCCATACATAGTGTGTATTGTTCCATACATAGTGTATATTGTTCCATACATAGTGTGTATTGTTCCATACATAGTGTGTATTGTTCCATACATAGTGTGTATTGTTCCGTACATAGTGTGTATTATTCCATACATAGTGTGTATTGTTCTATACATAGTGTGTACTGTTCCATACATAGTGTGTATTGTTCCATACATAGTGTGTATTGTTTCATACATAGTGTGTATTGTTCCATACATAGTGTGTATTATTCCATACATCGTGTGTATTATTCCATACATAGTGTGTATTATTCCATACATAGTGTGTATTGTTCCATACATAGTGTATATTGTTCCATACATAGTGTGTATTGTTCCATACATAGTGTGTATTGTTCCATACATATTATGTATTGTTCCATACAGAGTGTGTATTTTTCCATAAATAGTGTGTATTGAACTGTTCCATACAGATACATGTATTGTTACACCCCTAGTATACATATGTATATTTATACACAGTGACTTTAGTTGTGTGGATGCTCTGTGTATGTTAATGCTATAAAATGAACTTTAAAAGGCTCGTTCCATAATAATTGTTTTCAGGTTTGTTATAAGGTATTGTTCTGAGCTCTTATGGACTGATGGTACAACAAACAGCAGCACATGTAAACAGTGCAGACTGACACACAAAAAGAGACGGCTTCTGAAAACCTGCCCCAGCAGCCGTTAGCTGGTTCCAGTGTTTCAGTGTTTATTGGGTAAGGTTTCTTTTAGTTGTCCTGTTAGTCCACATACAGTTTGTTCTGCAGACTTTGAGTTGATTTACCATCAGATATGAAAACATTCAGCTCAGCTGAGAATACAGTGGAAGATTTTTACAGTTTGTAACTTTGATTCTTTTAAAAATATTTCTTAGGTCTTTATTTGAACAGATGATCTGAGAGAGATCAGATCAACTTTACGATCACAGATCTCCTCCATGCTTCCAAATAAGTTGCTGCTTGTCATCATGGTTTAAGAATTTATGGCTTTTATGGTTTGGCTCATTTTAGCATTTGGCTAAAGTTTAGCCACTCTAGTTCATGTGTTTTGCTACAGTAGGTAATTTGTTTCAGTTTTTACCTYCTGCTTTGCTAATTTTAGCTTCTGTTCTGCTGGATTGAACTTCAACTCGAAGTTCGGCTGTCAGTTTTCACACCGCTCAGACGTTCAGCTTMTTATTTACTCATTTCAATCATCATTTCTGAAGAAAGTCATTGTTTTGTTTGTGTCCTCATACCGTCCTCCAGCGTGGTGGAGTCCACCTCTGTGGAGGACGGTCCCGTCCCTGCGCTGTTGCTGGCCTGGACCACCACTCCATACTGTGTGAACTTCTTCAGGTTGTCCAGCACCAGGCTCTCTGCGTTGTCTCCTGTCGTCTCCAGGCTGATCACGCTGAACTGGTAGTTCCCACCGGAGCTGTACTCCCTGTAGCCCACCTGGTAGCCTCGGATGGCCCCGTTCTGCAGGTGCTTCTTGGGCGGCTGGCACAGGAAACACACAAGTTACTCAACAAGAACTGTTCCTGAGGATTCAAGTAATACAGTAACTATAAAAATATATCCAACACATGTCATATTCTAAACATGTCTTTTTATATTTTCCTGTTTAACATTCAGAAAATAAGGAAACTCATAAGAAGCAGCAGCCAGTCACCTCACCCCTAATTTACACTAGAAGCGGCTCCACGGTGGTCTGACCTTGCAGATGACACCACAATTTTTTGTTTGGGTAAAAGTATAGAACAGATGATGGAAATGATGCTAACAGAATGTGTAAAAATTTAAACCTGGTTCAAACTTAATAAATTTTCATTAAATTTGGATAAAACTGATATTTAGTAATAAAAAAAAAGAACTTAATGTTCCAGAGTTGATGGTGTTGACATTTGCAGTCAGTGAGGTGAAGTTTTTGGGCGTCATTATTGATGAAAAGCTGACATGAAAATCCCACATAAACCATTTAAGAACAAAAACAGTCAAATCCATTGCAGTATTATAAGTAAAGAACTTATTTAATGATAAAGCACTGTTTATATTATATAATGCAATAATTGTTCCACACTTGATTTACTGTGTTGAAGTCTGTGAAACAATTACAAATTCTATTTTTATTTTACAGAAAAGAGCCGTCAGAATTATCACCAGAAAACATTACTGTCATCCAACAAATATATTGTTTTTCTAAATCGAAATTATTAAAATTTTGAGTTGGTTGATTATAATATCTTGCAGATTATGTATAAAGGTCATATTTTTTTTACCTTCAAACATCCAGTTATGTTTTGTTAAGAGAGAAAGTTTATATAATCTTGAGAGAATTGAGATGTTTATAAAACGTAAAATTCGAACAAATTTGAAGGATCGATGCACTTCAGTTCAAGGAATAACAATTTTGGTGCAAATTGTTTGTTTAAGAGAATGATTAAAATAAGTTTGTTAAAGAAATATGAAATTGTATAATGTATATTAAAAGTTGTT